GGCTAGAGCGTAGGTGGAGGAAATCACGGGATGAATCTGACCGAACACACTTAAGAGCCCACTATCGGGCCTATGCTGTGGCGGTGAGGGCGGCGAAAAAGAGACACTTCTCCGCTTCCATTGCCTCCTCACAATGCCGTCCGGCGGAGCTCTTTCGAGTGGTGCAAGGCCTGGTTCACCCAGGGCCAAAGGAAGAGCTGATTCCACCCTCAAAGGCCCGCTGTGACGACTTTGCCGAGCATTTTAGGGAGAAAATCGCTCAGATTCGTCACGAGCTGGATTCCACTATTGATTCAGAGGTTTTAAGGGAGACACCAACGCTGCCGTCTGGTCCAGAATTATTGGATGAATTTCAGTTATTGCGGCCCGATGATGTGGACAAGGTGCTTGGACGAGTACATCCTACCACTTGCCTTTTGGACCCTTGCCCGTCTTGGTTATTAAATAATTCCAAGCACGGGATTGGAACCTGGATCTTGGAAGTGGTTAACGCTTCTCTGAGGGAGGGTCGGGTGCCTGCCCCTTTAAAGGAGGCGGTAGTCCGACCGGTCCTGAAGAAGGCGTCACTGGATCCAGGGATGGCCGCTAACTATAGACCAGTGGCCAACATCCCGTTTCTGGGCAAGGTGTTAGAGCGAGTGGTGGTGGGACAACTCCAAGCACTCTTGGATGAAACTGATTATCTGGACCCATTTCAGTCCGGCTTCAGACCCGGGTACGGTACTGAATCTGCCTTGGTCGCCCTGTACGATGACCTGTGCAGGGAGAAGGACAGGGGGAGTGCGTCCCTGTTGGTTCTCCTGGACCTCTCAGCGGCTTTCGATACCATCGACCATGGTATCCTTCTGGATAGGCTGGCGGGATTGGGGGTTGGAGGCACCGCTTTGCGGTGGTTCCGCTCCTATCTCAACGACCGATTCCAGAAGGTGGTGTTGGGGGACTATGGCTCTGCGCCATGGCAGCTTTGCCATGGGGTACCGCAGGGTTCCATTTTGTCCCCTTTACTGTTCAATATCTACATGAATCCGCTGGGAGAGGTCATCAGGAGGTGTGGGCTGCGGACCCATCAGTATGCTGATGATACCCAGCTCTACCTCTCGTTTTCCACCAATCCAGGTGAGGCAGTGGCTGTGCTGAACCGGTGCCTGGCCGAGGTAATGGGCTGGATGAGGGCCAATAAACTGAAGCTCAATCCAGACAAGACGGAGGTCCTGTTGGTTGGCGGTTCGGGCTTCGGAGAAGGTGACCTGAACCTTGTCCTGAATGGGGTTGCACTCCCTCCTAGGGACAAGGTCCGCAGCTTGGGAGTGCTCCTCGACCCGGAGCTTTCACTTGAAGCTCAGGTGACAACAGCGGCGAGGAGTGCTTTCCTCCAGCTTCGGCTGATTCATCAGCTGCGCCCCTACCTGGAGTACGACTGCCTTGCAACAGTGACTCATGCGCTGGTGACTTCCCATCTTGACTTCTGTAACGCGCTCTACGTGGGGCTACCCTTGAAGACGGTCCGGATACTTCAATTGGTTCAGAATAGAGCTGCCAGGCTGCTGACGGGGACTGGACGTTATGTTCACATGACGCCAGTTCTCCGTCAGCTTCACTGGCTCCCCATTGAAGTCCGGGCCCAATTCAAGGTGTTGGTAATGACCTATAAAGCCCTAAACGGCTTGGGTCCTGGTTACCTGAAGGAGCGCTTACATCCATATTTGCCCAGTCGCCCCCTGAGATCGGCGGGAGAGGCCCTTCTCCGGGAGCCCTCCGTGAGAGAAATTAGGAGGGTGGCTACTCGGAGAAGGGCTTTCTCAGCGGTGGCGCCTAAGTTATGGAATGCGCTCCCCAGAGAGGGCCGCCTGGCGCCGTCGTTATTTGTTTTTCGGCGCCAGGCTAAGACCTTTTTATTTAAGCAACATTTTAAATGCTAAATACAATTGAATTTTATCTGGCCAGGGCGGCTTATTTTATAATGTGTGTTTTAATTAAGATTATTTTATATGGATTTTAACTTATTGTTTTATCGATGTTGTAAGCCGCCCCGAGGCTTCGGCGAATGGGGCGGCATAAAAATGTTTTAATAAATAAATAAATAAATAAATAACCATTAGTGGGGAATCATCAGGATGGAGGCCAGTGACAAGCAGCGTCCCCCAAGACTCTGTCCTGGGACTGATCCTGTTCAAACTTTTCATCAATGACATGGAAGAAGGGATGATCAGTCTTCTGATCAAATTCACAGATGATAGTTAAGTGAGGGCAGTGGCCACAAATGAGGAGCAGGTACTCCAGATCCAGAAGGATCTGGACAGACTATGGAAGTGGGCAGGGGGCAAAAGGATGGTGTTCGATGTGGATAAGTGCAAGGTCCTGCACTTAGAGCATAGGAATGGGTGTCATAAGTACAGGTTAGGGGACAAGTGACTGGAGAGCAGCACTTGTGAAAGGGACCTCAGGGTACTGGTTGATTGCAGGCTAAACATGAGTCAGCAGTGTGATGCGGCTTTCAAGAGGGCGAACACCACCCTTGGTAGCATAGCCTCACTAACATAGTGTGGCTTCTAGACTGAGAGAGGTATGACTACCACTCTATATGACTCTGATGCACCTGCAACTGGAGTATTGTGTTCAATTCGGAGCTCCGCATTACAGGAAGGATATAGGCAGATTAAAGACAGTGCAGCATAGGGCCACAAGAATGGTGGCCAGATTGCAGGGAAAGCCATATGAGGTGAGACTGAGGGAACTGGGTCTTTTCAGCCTGGAAAAGAGGAGACTCCGAGGGGATCTGTTGGTGACCTATCAGTGAGGATGTTCAAGAATGAGCTGGACATGCACATGGTAGGCATGTCATGAGTGGAGGCAGCTGAAACTGGAGGTCAGACTAGATGACCCAGGAGGTCCTTTCTGACTTGCTCTGTTTCTATGTTTCTAAATCCTCCAATCCAATCATTTGTACCAACATGGAGTCTTTCTGTGGTCCTCCAAGCATTGACCAAATCACCATTTGAGCCACTTGCATCCAGATTTAAGACTACTCTAATGGAAAACATCTTTCCTGGTGGCCATCACATCGGCAAGACAAGTGAGTGAACTATGCACACTTCAGATAGATCCAGCGTACCTGAATAAGGAGAAGGTCATCCTAAGACTGAACCCTTCCTTCCTACTGGAGGTAGCTACAACATTCCACCTGTTGTTCTACTGGCCTTCTTCCCCATACCTTCGACTACAATTCAGAGGTCACTCCACACATTAGATGTATGCAGAGTACTTGCTTTCTACTGATCTCACATAGAACCCTTCTGTAAGATGAAACAACTTTTCATCAAGTACTCAGACCGTGATGAGGGAACACAGATTGGACCACAATATCTATCCAACTGGATAGTCAAAACCAGCTTTTGTACCAACTAGCCAGCATAGACTTACTGGTCAACCCCAAAGGCCATTCCAGCAGAGCTGTCTCCACTGCGATAGCCCTGCATTCCAGCATACTTCTTCATGAACTATGCAAAGCTGCTATGTGATTGACACCATCTACTTTCATCTACCACTACCAACTCAACCTTAAAGCCAGACAGGATTGTTCCTTCAGATGTGCTGTTCTCTCTGCAGTCCTTCAATAATGACACCTTCCCGCCTCCAATTATGGTAAGTTTGCTAGTCACCCATGTGTGTGATGCACAGAGACCACGAAGAAGAAAGGCAGGTTGCTTACCTGTAACTGTCATTCTTTGAGTGGTCATCAGTGCATTCACACAACCCACCCACCAGCCCCACATTGGTATCAGTGGAACAAATCAAGTTTTCTTACTATGACCTAAGGTCCCAACTCAAATCAAATAGCAAACCATCAGATTGCAGCTGGACTGATGAAGGGTGGGAACCCTGCCTATTTATACAGGGGGAGGGGAGGCAGGGCTCCTGCCAAAAACTCTTAGAGCTGAGAGAAACTTCCCAAATACAAGCACTGCACAGGCACAGCACTCATATGTGTGAACACACAGATGCCCACTCAGAGAATGACATTTACAGGTAAGCAACCTGCCTATCCCCCTTTTTTATAAATGCAAAGCATCTTAAATCATTCTCCTCCTCCTGTTCTCAATCTTATCCCCACAGTAACAACCCTGTGAGGTTTGTTGGGCTGAGAGTCTGTGACTGGCCCAAAGTCACCCAGTTAGTTCCATGGCTGAGCAGGGACTAGAACCCATGTTTCCTGAGTCCCAGTCCTGCACTCTTAACCCATAGTGGCTCTCAGAGGAGCTTTCAGTGGAAAATAATAACTCAAAATGCAGTAATTCAATAAATGATTCTAAGCAGCTGAAAATTTGCCCCGTGGCCTATAAACGTCTAGTTCCCCCTCCCCAATCTATTTCCTATCCAGTAGTTTAAAGCAGAACTTGGTAGCTGATAAGTTTTCTTTTACTTTACTCACTGCAAATACACATTAATGCTCTATACTTTACTATTTTCACAATAAAGAAAAAGATGTGATTTACAGCTTAATAGCTCTAAGTCAAGGCAACCAAATAAATCTTACCACCAGGAACTCGTGTGCCACCTGAGTACAAAAAAATCAAGTATTAATTTTGTTCCTAAAAATCTGTTTTGATGATAAGCTGTAAAGAACAGTTAGCCCAAGTTTAGTGGGACTATTGGCTGCCATTGAGAAGCAGAATTTCAATCCCACAGCTGAATGAAAATAATTTAGGTGTCTACCTACAGGTTTTCTTGTTAATCAAGTAGCCAAGCAGTACTTGTAGCTATAATACAATACACATTTGTAGTTAACAATGTAGCTTGATATCACATAATACTTGGATCATTTATATATCTTAAAAATTGCATTTTACATAAATTATCTAAGATAAACTTAGCTTGTTATGGTTTGTAAGGTGGTTATGAAGTATACAGTAAATTGTACTTACAATAAATTCTTGTTCTATAAGCTGCTTTTAAAATATTTTTTAAAATCTAGACAAGTTTGATTCTTTATTTTTTACCAGGTTGCTGCTGAACTAGCAGCTAAAGAAGAGGAAGAACAGAAAAAGAAAGGGAAGAAAAGGGGGGGAAAGGAAAAAAAAGAAAAGGGGAAAAAGAAAAAGAAAGGAAAAGAAAAGGATGAAAAGAAACCAAAGAAAGTTGAGGTAAGATGTTCTAGACCAAAATTTTAACAAATCTATTGATTGAGGTATATGTTGGGTAGAAATTGGATGAAAAACGTGTGTATTGCTTTTACTAGAATTACAAGGTAAGATCTAGAATAAAATGTTGCAGTATATCCTTACCTCCTTATAGTGTTTCTTCTTGGGATTCAAAAGGGCCTGGAACAAGAAGCTTACAGAGAGCTGCCTTGGACTCTCAGAAGACAAACCCTCCTGAAACTTTCACTCACTCTGCTATATAGTTGCTAGAGGGCTCAAGATAATGACATTTGGAGGTCATTTTCTTCTGTTTTCCTCCATCACCACTGCTTTTGCATCTCGCACAGCAGAATTTTTCTGTGTGTCTTCAGAATTCTCCAAGATGCCCAACTTGATTCTAACCCAACAAATCTGGCAGAACAATAACCAAAAGGCAAGCAAATCTATGGCTGATAAGTTTCTTCTTCAGAAAGTGGAGAGAGGAACTGAAGGATCAACAAACCTCAATACTTACTAGTCAGTATTAAGTATAACTTAGTGGATAAAGTGGACGTTACAGGATTTTTGGGGGGAAAGTGATCACAACATACTTGAGTTCTTGTTTTTAAAGGAAGCAAAACATAATGTAGCTATACACATACTCTGGATTTTAGGAGAGCTGAGTTTGATAAACTGAGGCCCCATGACAAGTGATCCTAAGGGGGAAAAAATGTCCAAGAAGGGGTGGGAGTTTTTAAGAAAAACTCAAGGCAGAATTAATAAACAAGATAGAAGATAACAGAAGAAACCAGGGTGCTCAACAAAAAAAACTTCAAGTTGACCCCAAAACAAAAAAGGACATGTATAGGAAGTGGACGGAAGGCTGGAAGAGAACAGACAGGTGGCAGAAATGTGTAGGAATTCCATTAGGAAGGCTAAAGCTAAGAATGAGGGGATACTAGCGAGACACTAAAAGCCACAAGAAAGCTTTTTTCCAGGTAAGAGCATGGTAAAAGACAGAAAAAAAATGATAGCTCAATTTCTAAATGAGAAGGACAAATTGATAACAGCTGACAAAAGGCCAAAGTGTTCAATTCCTACTTGGGCTCAGTCTTCTTGCAAAAGCAAGACTGTGACGCTACTGGCAGACATGAAGTACAGACTGAAGGATCAGAATTGAAGCTTGAGAGGAATAAACAATGGTCAAGCAGCACTTGACTTCTTTGAATGAGTTCACATATCCAGGCCCTGATGAACTGCATCCTATAATAATAAACTGGCAGAGGAACTCTCAGAACCACTGTCTCTTATCTTTGAGAAATCATGGAGGGTAGGTGAAAAGCAAGATAACTGGAGGAAGACTATTGCTGTCCCTCTCTTTAAAATGGCAAAAAGGAAGTGTTACAGGCCAGTTATTTTAATATCAACCCTGGGAAGATTTTGGAGCAAATAATATGTTATTTTCTAAGCACCTTGAAGACAATGCAGTAATTCCTAGAAGCTAGACAGATTGATCAAAAACAAAATCTTGCCAGAATAAACTGATGTCATTTTTTATCAGGTAACCTCCCTTGTAGATTGTGAGAATGCTGTCAACCTAAGATACCTGGACTTCAGCTAAGTCTTGACAAAGTGGCCCATCACAGACTGAGTTAAGTGGGCTAGATGGAACAACTATCCGGAGGATCCACTGTGGGGTACAGATTCAGAAAGTGCTTTTCAGTGGCACCTTCTCAAGGTGGGGAGAGGTAACAAATGGGCTACTGCAAGGCTCAGTCCTCAGATCAGTGCTCTTCAACATTTTTATTAATGACTTGGATAAAGAGGTGAAGGGAATGCTGATCATATTCGCAGGTGGAACAAAATTAGGTAGGCTAGCTAATACCCTGGAAGACAGGAACAAAATTCCAAGTGATCTTGAAAGGTTGGGACACTGGGCTGAAAGCAGCAGAATGGAATTCAGTTGGGACAAATGCCAAGTTCTTCCCCTAGGAAAAGGGAACCAAATGTACCGGTACAAAATGGGAGCAACTAGGCTCAACAAAGCTACATGTGAGAAGGATCTCAGAACGGTTGTAGATGACAAAGTGAATATGAGTCAACAATGTGATGTGGCTGCAAGAAAAGAGGCAAATGGTATATTGGGCTGCATTAAAAGACATATAACTGCCAAATCACTAGAGGTACTGGTTGATCATTCTTTTTTTCTGCAAAATGAGAACAGAGATACCACAAAGGGTCAGTTTGATCATTCTTGATAAATTAGTATTATGTGTTTCAGCATGTTATGCAGATTTACCCTCAGAATATTTATATGCATGTTAAAAATTAGGAGTAAGGGGTTTCTAAAAGGGATATTCCTTCTAGGAGATAGGCTCTTATCTAACATGACAGGACAACCTGTAATACTAACTCCTTTCTGCAAGTGACAGAAGGAGGTCATTGAAAAACAGTCCACACTTCTCCATAGCTTTTTTGAACTTGCAACCATATTGGATAATCTTGTTTCTTGCAAAACATAATCTACTGCTGACCTATATCCAAGCTAATTACAGTGCAAGGGCACACTTTTGTGGAGGGGGGAGTCACAGATGGAGGAGAGTTTTCACTCCCACTTGTGCCTCTCCCCCACAGTGGTACAAGTAGGTTTGGAAAAAGGCTTGCATTGGCTTTTTCTTAGTAAATGATTAGGCTTACATGACCTTTTGGGTATCATTCATGCTGCTGAAGCTTTTCAGTTGCTCTCCAAGCAACTTGTAAGCCATCCAGAGACCCGCAAGGTATTGGACGGGGTAAAAAATACCCAAATAAATAAATACATACATAAAGCTACACATGGAGCATCCTGCATTATTTCCTGCTTGACAAGAACAGCTATTCAGATTCTTTCCAGGTGGGGCGAGCCATACCTGTTATAATAAGGGTGGGTCTAGCCAATGTAGTTGTTATAATACAAGTTCCTGAATTGGCAGTCCATTCACTTTAATCTAGCAAGTTGTTGAATGTTAGGGAAGAATATTTATACCATATCATTTGTGGGGGCTGCTTTATTGTTGAATTCAGTCCTGGCAGTTTTCTGACCTCATTTCTCCACTTAAGGCCACAGCAAGTGTATAAGATGCAAGATTGAGAAAAGTTGCTTTTGCTTACTCTTGCCATCTGAAATTTCAGAATTGGTGTCAGGTTCAAAAGCATTGTTGGCCTGTTTGACTACTTTGGAAGGGATAACCATCTAGTTCTGTTATTTCCTCATTCCTCTTACCTGCGGGGGCCTACAGACTTCAGCATTCTAACTCACTAGTCCTCTCCACTCAACTATATCTACTCAATATAATGCAGAACAGATTTTTCCCTTCCCAAATTAGTTGAAACAGGGAAAAGTACTAATGATATATCAGTTTTTTTAATTGAATTCAAACAATACAGAATCTATCAGTGAACTATTGTATAATGATGAAAGATCAGAATACCCTCAAAGTGCCTAGAATCAGATAATTAATGCTCAGAAGAAAGCAAAAGGAATCTTGTTTCTGCAGGTGTGGGGATCATACCACTTTTGATAATATTTTTGTAATCATTTAATAGACTGTTTTTAAATTTATCTCAAGAATTTATTCTGTGTGTTAAGGAACAAGAAGAAGGTTGGAAAATGACCCCTAGCAATTTTCTCCCAGTAATGGAAGAAGGAAACAGCAAATACAAAGGTGAGTAGAATGAACATAACTGAAACAGAACTGCAATTTCAAGCAGCCTATGAACCTGGAGTACACTTCATTGGAGCAAGCCTCACTAAATGAATATTTGAGATTCTTCTTCATGGTCTCTGTGCATCACACGTATGGGCTTTATGCCTGTGTGGAGCCTGTTGCTGAGATTTCATGGCTGAGAAAATTTTGGTGGGAACTGGTCCCCATCTCGGTGTCCAGTGTATATGGGAGGAGTTCCTGGCCATTCCCTCAGTTCTTCTTTGACTGCCTTTTATGGTGCCATGGGAAGTACTTTTTCCCTTTCTTTTTTCCCCTTTCTTTTTCTACTTTCACCCATTTATTCTGCCTATTTACCTAGGGCATATGTCTGAAATAGGTATGAAGACATGGGGCAGATCACCAATGGAATTGGCTAATGAATCCAAGGAACCTGTTGCAAAGAACCTGCTGTTCTGGCTCTAAACATGGGCTAACCTGCGTTTCTGAGTTTGCTGGGAAAACAAAGGACTTTGTGGTTCCTGCAGCTCTGGCCCTAACCATGGGCTAGGCACACCTCCAAATTGGCTGAAAGCCAAAGAGTCTGCAGTAAGTGAGGTTTGAAAAGACAAGGCTCTTTCAGCAGACAAGGCTCTTTCAGCATGTGCTGTCCCGTGCAGCACATGCCACCACAGGGGTGCGCATACCCAGGAGGATGCCCCACTGGCCACTTCAGGGTCAGGAGCTCAGTTTGATAATCGGCCATGGTGCAGCCTTTGATCCTGCTATTCACCACTTCCAATCTGGTGTGGGGCTATACAGAAAAGTGTGGAGGTGGAGCTTAACTGCTTCCTCCTGTCAGACAACACCACCCTAATAAAGCCAGTGCCCTCTCTGCCAAGTGCATGGACATGTCCACCCCCAAGCAAACACTGCTGCCAGGAAGGGCATGCTCAGGAGAACACCCCACCAGTTGCTTTGGAATGAGTGGCTTGGCTTGGCACTTGGCCATGATACTGCCTTGAGATCCTGCCATCTGCCACTCCCAGGCTGGTGCAAGGCTCCAAGCAAGAAAGTGTGAGAGGCTTACTTGCCCTCTTCCTACAGGCCACTGCCACGCACACTGAAGTGGTTGCCTCACTGCTAAGTGGCTGTAGCCACGCTGCACTAGGCAGCACCACCTGGGAGTGTTTGCCCAGGAGCACACCCTGCCAAATGCTTGGGAATGAATGGCTTGGCTCAACATTTGGCCATGGTGCCAACTGCTGTCCTCAAGTTGGTGAGGTTCAGTGAAGAGGTGTGGGGAGGGCTTGCTTCCTTCCTGTGAGTGTCTCCCATTAAAGGGATAGCCTTGCAGCCAAACCACCTTGTACTAGGTTCCATCACCTGGATGTGAGTTCCCAGGAGAATGCCCTTTTGGCTGCTTTGGATCAGGCAGCTCAGTTTGCTGCTTGGCCATGGTGCCAACTGCAGCACTGCTGCCCACTGCTTCCAAGCCAGAGGGACTCGCAAACAGGCATGGGTGAAGCTTAATTGCCCCATTCTGTCAGGTGATGTGTCCTCGAGGGAAAGGGTAGCCTTACCACCGAGCATGTGTCCGTGGCTACCCTGCACAAGGTGCCATTATCTGGGAGTGAGTGCCCAGGAGGACACCCTGCTGACTGCTTCAGGATGGGTGGCTTGACTTGATGCTTGGTCACGGTACCAACTGCAGCATTGCTGTCTGTGGCTCCCAAACTAGCAAGGATCCATGAATAGGCATGGGCAGGGCTTAATTACCTTCTTCTGGCCAGGTAACTCCGCCCCCAGTAAGGAAGGTAGCTTCACTATTAAGTGAAGCTTAACATGACCACCTGCTTCCAGGTGCATCAGCAGCTACAAATATAGGCACTTCTGCATACCCCAGCACCCCGAAGCCAAAGTAGAGTCGGGGTAAGGTCAGGGTATAAAATAAATAAAAATAAATAAATACATAAGTAAAAGTCCTGGAACTCTTCTGTGAAAGAAGCTCTTTCTCTTCTGAGGGCAGATCCTCAGTGCAGCCACATAATGCTTGTTAGCTCTAATGACAACCACAACCCTAAATCCAATAAACACACACCCAGATCTGTGCATTTGTGAGGCTATAAATGTATATCCTCCTGCCCCCAGTCTGCACATTTTTTCATTGCTTATGAAATGGACTGCCCAACACATTCTCAGACACCCAGTAAAAAAGCTCCTGTATTGATGTTTCCCATTTTGATTTTTTTCTTGGAGCCACCCTGTCAAAATCTCCAATTGAAGAGCATTTTTATGGTGGTATCAAGTATTATAAAAATTATAACTACTACACCACACTGGCTTGCCCACTTGCGTGGCACCCCCTGACTCTACACTGTCTTTGGGGTGTGGGATATGGAGAAGTGCTTCTATTTGGAGCTACAGATGAAATAAAAACTAAAACATATAGAAGTGTGGTTCTCTGTAACAATATGAAGTTCAAGTACATGAGACATGAAGTGGTGCCTCAGATTCATTCTACCCCTAGCTTTACCTCACAATTCAGAACCTTCTTACTCAGCTTACCTCATTAAAACATTTTTTTTATTTTCACTATAACCTGTCTTATATTTTTTTTTTTAAAAACCTTCTATCCATCTCCCCTCATGCTGTCTGCTTAACAGTCTTTCTCTACTCCTGCCCACTTTCTAACTTACTCCAATGGTATTCATGGCAGTGTTTTGAAAGTGTGCACACTGCAACACCGAAATGTCCTCCATAGATGGGCAATAACTATGACTATTTTGCCTGGGCAAAGATCACGCTCATTCCCATATCACCAGGCTTTTACCAAGCAGGCAAGAAAGAATCAGGCAGTGTGCCTTTGGACATGTGGACGAGAGCACTTCAGGCTACCAACACAGTGACCTCTGGGCCCTTCTGCCTCATGGGCAATTTCAAGCTTGTGCCTGCCATCAGAAACTGCTGGGGCTCCATCAGGTGCAAAGACTAAAACCAGGCCATAATCAACCAAACAGCAGCCAAAAAATTGGTCCAAACATGGCCTCAAAATGGCGACCAAAAGCAGTGCCCAAATGGCAGCAAAAAAGACAACTAAAAAGCCAGAGAAAAAAGGCTCAGGATCACTTGCACACTTGAAATATGGGATTCCCCACCAACAACTCCACTGCGATCACCCAGACCAGGAACCAGTCCCAAAACTATCCTAGGAGCTAATTTCTATGGTGGTTTCTTGTGGCTGTAGCTGACACTCAGGTGGAACCCCAATACCTACTTGGGGAAAGGAATACTGATGGATGTTGCCAATAGTACCATATGGACAACACCTATGGGAACCAAGAGCAAGGGAAATGCCATACCAATACTGGGATCCTCCCTCTTTTCTGCAAGAGGACCTCTGGGCTGCCACACCATCAGTCCCAGTGCCCACACAACCACCTTGCCCTATACTTCTGGGTTCTACCAGCCAGCAGCATTCCAGGCACCATCACCACATGTATACCATTCTTTTCATCAGGCCACTCCTCTTTATGCTCACAAATTACACATCAGACTCACACAAGCCAATATATGAAGACCCAATGTCCACATCATTGGTGGACAAGGTTACAACAGAAGTGTCAGGATCCTCCTGTAAGGACCTAAGAAGATTCTCTAAGCAAGTCCTCAGGATGGCAATGTCTCTCATTTTGGAGATGAACTAGCAGAGCCACCGATTGATCTCATATGTGACATCACCTGGATGGAGGACACCATGCCAGTGGCCATTCCATTTCTACCAACCCTTAATGCTACGAAGGATTCATGGAAGGCCTCAGCATAATACATCATGCTTGCCTAGAGAGTTTATACTGGGTCCAGGAGAGTGATATCCCATTCCTATCCTTGCTCAAACTCGGTGATAGTGGAATCAGCCTGAGATGGATCCCAGTGTGAACATTTGGTCCCTGCAGATAGGCAAGGATGGCAAAAGGATTCAATGGCTGGGAGAATATATGTGGCAATGGGGCATGGCCTTCATATATCTAATCATGAAAGGCAAATGGAATGCTATCAAGTATTTCTGTGAGAAAAGATGGGGTCCTAGCACAGTTCCTCCTGGAGCAACACCAAGAACTTGCTAGGGTTTTCCAGTCAGAAGCTCTACAGCAAACAACAAATTATCACCACACATCATCACCTCGACTTTCATTTGAGAGCCCTAGTGATTGCTATAGCTATCTGCCACCACACATGGCTTAAAGTGTCCAGCTTCCCACAGGAACCTAGAGCCCAGATAGAAGAGATGCATTTTGACCATGAGGGCCTTTTCAATACCTGGACTAACAAGAAGTTATTGTGCAAAAGGCAAGAGTGATGGTAGGGAGAATGGGCTTTGCAGCACCCCAAACATTGATGACACATAAGCGGCCATGAGGCCCATCTTTTTTCCCTGGCAGAAACCAGTCATATTACCCCACATGGCAGTGATGACTACCCACACAATGTCAGGATGCTTCCCTTCGCACATTGCAGTCCACTGAGAAATGGCTAGATATTGAAATGTAGTGTTGCCGGCCACCAACCCAAACCAGTCCCTCACCACCGTTGACAGTTTGGTTTGAAGGCTGCCTTAGAACTTTCCTTCCGCAATGGGAAGACATAACATCAGACAGATGGGCACTCCCCATCATTGAATTGAGGTACTGTATAGAATTTGCCTCCCTTCCACCGCTCGGGACCATATGCACCACCTTTCTGTCAGTCACCCTAGAAAATGAGGTAGTAACACCTCAACCAAAGGGAGTAATTCAATCTGTCCCACCATTCAATCTCCAACTCCTGTTATTTTACCATCCTGCAGAACAGAAACCTCTGTCCCATGCTAGATTTTAGGGCATGAATGTCTACATTCCCCTTAAGAAGCTCCACATGATTTCTCTACAGACTATACTAGCCTTGTTAAGGCAAGGGGACTGGTTTGCCTTGATAGAGTTACAAGATGTGTACTTTCATGTCTCTATCCATACAGAATATAG